AGTTTATTTTTGCTGCTGCAGCATTTGCTGCTGCTGCTGCTGTTGTTGCTGCTGCTGTTGCTGCATGCGTTGCTGCAGCTTGATGGTGTTGTTGAGGTGTATAGACAGCACATTTGTGGGGTTTTGTTTAAAACTACTGAGGCCAACGACTGCAGCATATTGCTGCATTTCTTTTTGAATTGCTGCTGCTCTTCTGCTGCTAGATATCTTTTTAGGGTTTTTTAAAGCAGCAGCAGCAGCAGCAGCAGCAGCAGCGGGCTGTTGTTTCTTTATAACCTCTTTTAAGGCGTCTTCGACACAATCCATGCTCTCAAGCGCAGAGGGGCCCCCCTCACCCTCTGCTGCTGCTGCTGCTGCTGCGCGTTGCTGCAGCAGCACCTCCGCATACACCCCAAAGTGTTTCTTTCTTGCTGCTGCTTCTTTCTTCGCCAACCGTTTTCGCTGTCCTCTCGATAAACTCGTTGGTTCGGTCTGAAGTAAACCATTTAAACGCTCCTTCAGACCCCCTGCTGCTGCTGCTGCTGCTGCTGCTGTTGCTGCTGCTTTTGCTGTTGCTGCTGCTGGTTTGTCTGCTGCTGCTGTTGGCTTTCCTGCTGCTTCAGCTGCTACAGGTGCTGCTGTAGGTGCCGCTGCAGGCGCTGCTGCTGCTGCTGCTGCTGCTGTTGCTGCTGCTGCTGCTTTTCCTGCTGCAAGGCGTTCAGGGGGGGCCCCATAGGGGCCCCACAGCGGCACTTTGGGGGCCCCTGTTTGGCCGTCTATTGAATTAATGTTAAGGCGGTCTTTGTTTCTTGTGCGTCTGATCGGCTTCATTTTAATCTGTTTTGTTTTGTTTTAATGATGTTTACCCTAATATTACTGTATATACTGCGAAGAAATAGAATTAAAAATACTCTTTAGGGTTTATGAAGCATGTAATAAAAGGGTTTAGGGTTTAGGGTTTAGCAGATGAAGGGGCTTATCAGGGGGGCGATAAAAAACTGGGGGTTTTGAATGGATCTTTAAGAGGAAAAAAAAGAAAAAGAATTTAAATATTAATATCAAAGAATAAATTAAAATAAAAACAAATTTTAAAGCAACAAACAACGAAGTATTAAGGGGGCCCCACGGGGGCCCCCTTAATACTGCTGCAGGAAGTGAAGACGTAAATAATAATATATAAATAATTATTATTATTTTTATTGTTATTATTATTATTTTTATATTATTTTATGATAATTTTTGTATTTTATTTTTATTCTTTTTGTTTGTTTTGTTTGTTTTTGCACTCGCAGAGCTGCGGGGCTTCGAAACGGGGGCGGAGGTGCCTATACACCTGAATGATGTTGGGTATAAGAAAGCGAAAATAATATATATTTTATTTATTTTATTATAAAAATGTAGATATAAATATATAAATATAAATCTATATATTTATTTTCATATTTACGCTGCATGCCCTCTGCTCTTTTATTTGTTCTTTTTAATATCCAGCCAAAAGAAAAGGCTTTGGGCGCCTCTCAGCTTGTACAAACCCTAAACCCTAAACCCTAAACCCTAAACCCTAGACCGACAAACGCTGCGGGCCTTTCCAGGCCCCAACACCCACTTGACTGCCGCGCCTCCCCGGGGAACAGGGTCTGCTAAACCCTAAACCCTAAACCCTAAACCCTAAACCCTAAACCCTAAACCCTAAGGATGGGTTTTTAGGAGACACAAACATATTAACTCAGTTGGCCTTCAGGGCTCCAAAAAAAACGTAGAAAAGAAGACGAACGCCAGTCTCCTAATCACTAGCTAGCTAGCTAATTGAATAGCTAGCTAGCTAGCTAGCTAACTAGCTGCACCTGCTCAGCTCTCAGGCTGCTTCTTCTCATCCTCTGGGGCCTCTTCAGCAGGCGGCTGCACAAACACTGCTACCTAAGCCCTAAACCCTAAACCCTAAACCCTAAACCCCAACAACCAAACCCTGACTCCCCCAAGCACCTCAAAGCTACACAGAAACTTGCTAACTGCCTATCTAGCTAGCTAGCTAGCTATTAAAGAGCTAGCTAGGTGGCTAGCTAACTGATTAGCTGGCTTGCTAGCTAGCTACCTAAATAGCAACCTAGATAGCTAATAGAATGACTGGCTAGCTAGCTAGCTAGCTAAGGGAATAGCTAGCTAGATAAGTAGCTAGCTAGCTAGCTAGCTCACGAAGCTGGTGGCTAGCAGAAAGACAGACCTTTTCTTTTTTGCAAATATAAATGTAGTGGACGTCTGACTTCTCCTCCACCTCCGCTGCAAAACAAAAACCCTAAACCCTAAACCCTAAACCCTAAACCCTAAACCCTAAACCCTAAAACCCAAACCCTAAACCCTTAACCCTACACACACTGAACCCTCAAGCCTAGACCCTGACCCCTGAACCGTAAACCCTAAACCCTAAGCCCAAACCCCTAAGCCCTAAACCCCACGCTCTAAACCCTAAACCCTAAACCCTAAACCCTAATGCGTACTTGAGGCGTTTAGTGAGGGTTTTTCTAGGGTTTGGAGTTCAACAGTCCACTGCAATTCTTTTTTTTGAAGGTGGTTCAGACGAAAGACCGGAGAGCCGTACGATATCATCATGTACACTCCCCCAGGCCTGCACAAACCCTAAACCCTAAACCCTAAACCCTAAACTGTAAGCTCGAGGTAGTTGTGAGACTGCTGTGTGCTTTGAATATACATAATATATATTTTATTCTATGAAATGTATTTATATATATTCTGCTGTATACATATTTGCATATAATAGCGTATAATACAAATTATATATATATATATAAGGGTTTAGGGTTTGCTTAGGTTTTTCATATCGTTGAGCGTTTAGGGTTTAAGGTATAGAGGGTTGACGGTATGGAGGGTTTAAGGGTTTAGGGTTTAAGGGTTTAGGGTCTAGGGGTTTAGGGTTTAAGGGTTTAGGGTTTACTTCAGGATTTGAGAGATGAGGGTCAGGGCCTTATGCACGTTTTCAAAAGACTTCTCTCCGCACTGCAGCAGCAGCAGCAGCAGCAGCAGCAGCAGCAACAGCAACAGCAGCAGCACGAGCAGCGCTAATAGGCAAGAACAAACACAGCAGCAGCACCACCCCTAGCAGCAGCGGCAGCTGCTGCTGCTGCTGCTAGGCCAAAGAGTCTGTGTGCGGCTTTAGTCTCGAGCTAGGGTTTAGGGTTTAGGGTTTCAGGGTTTAGGGTGTTAGGGTTTAGGGTTTCAGGGTTTAGGGTGTTAGGGTTTAGGGTTTTAGGGTCTACTGCTTTAGTGTTCAGGGTTTAGCGTTTAAGGTATATCAAAGGTTTTGAACTTCTATTGTCTAGGGTTTAGGGTTTAGGGTTTAGGGTTTACGAGTATACAGTCGAGGGTGCCCTTATCGATGACGAAGTCAAACTCTTGCTTCTCAAGTTTGTCTAACTCCAAAACATTTAAAACCGTAACTGCAGCAGCAACCCAAATCAAACAATGCTGCTGCTGCTGTTGCTGCTGCTACTGTTGCTGCTGCTGCTGCTGCTGCTGCTGCTGCTGGAGGTCCAGCAGCATGGAGAGCAGCAGCAGCATCAGCAGCAGCAGGAACGAACAGCAACAGCATCAGCAGCACATCAGAAACATATTCACTTCAACAGCACCAGCAACAGCAGCAGCATCAACAGCAGCAACATCACCGTCATCAACAGCACATCAGCAGCAGCAAACGAACCGTCAGCAGCAGCAGCGGCAGAAACAGCAAGAGACGGTCTCAGCCGCAGCAGCAAACAACCAGCAGCAGGAGAAACAACAGCAACAACAGCTGCAGCAACAACAGCAACAATAATATGAGCACAATAAAATAACAACGAAATAAATAAATAAATAAATAAATAAAACAAACAAATCAAATAAATAATAATAAATAATAATAATAATAAATAAATAATAAATACTAATAAATAATTATAATAATAATAATAAATAATAAATATAAATAAATAATAAATAATAAAGAATAAGAGTACTTACAACTCAAGCCTGGTTTGTCGCTGCATCTGTCTTTCATCAAATTAATGCAAACCGGCGAAAAGTCGATGTTATAAATCGTCCGAAACCCGTCAGCCCACAGACTCTCACTCATTGCTGCACAAACAAATATTATTTATTTATTTATTTAAATAACTAACTAATTAATTAATTAATTAGTTAATTAATTAACT